AGAGGAGGCTGAGGGGAGACCTCCTGGCCCTCGGCAACTCCCTGCCAGGAGGGGGCAGAGAGGGGGGATGAGTCTCTGGAGCCAAGGCCCCAGCGCCAGGCCCCGAGGGAATGGCCTCAAGCTGCCCAGGGCAGGGTCAGGCTGGCTCTGAGGAAGGATTTCTGTGCAGAAGGGGCTGTTGGGCGTTGGAATGGGCTGCCCAGGGCAGGGGGGAGTCCCCGAGATCCCTGGAGAGGTTGAAGAGTCGGGCTGAGCCAGCGCTGAGGGGTCTGGGGGAGCTGGGAACGGTCAGGGGGAGGGTCAGGGTGGGGCTGGAGGGGCTCCAAGGGCTTTTCCAACCCAGATGGTTCTGGGGTTCTGTAAAGTTCTGACTCTTTCCATCTCCCTGATGCTCAGGTGACAGTTTCCTGCCTGTTGCCTCATACCCCACACTAAAGAGACAAGGTGAAGTTCGCTTGGCCAAAGGCAAAGCAGAAAGAGGAACTCTGAAGCTGGTTTAAAATGCCTCTCTCCCTGCAGGTGAGGGCCAGGTGCCAGCACCTCCCCGTGAAGGAGGAGACGCTGCAGCGGGTGGGCCTCTACATCGAGACCATCATCGGCTCCTTGCCGGAGGATCTCCAGGCCGTGCTGCACCACCCCTGAGCGCGCCGAGGGACGCTCCTGGGGAAGGAAGGGCCCTCCCGCCCCGCTCCGGGCCACGGGCGGCAGCAGTTGCCTTTGGAAAGGAAAATTCTTCCCTGACCCAGCCGGCGTGGCCCCTTCTCGACCTTGCTCACACCCGGGGAGGGTCTGGGGGGTCAGGACCGCAGCAGGAACGGGGAAGGGCGGGCGCTGTTCTGCCTGGTCCCGCTTTAGGAGCTGCGTTCGGGGACTGTGAAGGAGAAACTGTTCCCTGGGTGGCAGTTGGCAGGTCCCAGCGCGACAGCCGGGCTGCAGCAGCACAGCCCAGGCTGCGCCCAACGTCTCGCCCACATCTCCAATCCCTCTCAGCCGAGTGCTGGGGCTCGCCGGTTGCTGGTGCCGTCAGCCGGCCTGGAAGAAGCAGGACCAGCGCTGCGAGGGGGGGTGTCTTCAGGACAGCTCCTGGTAATCACGAGAGATGCGACACACCCCCCCACGTACAAATGGTGTGGAGAAATTGGCACTGCCCCGTCAGCAGCCTGACTCAGGGCAGCAAGAGCCTCGGCGGGGATGGCGGTGGAGGACAAACTGCTGCCTGCGGGACGCTGCTGCTTCCTTCTCCGAGGCAGAGGAGAAGGGGCTGGTGCTCTGCAGGGAACGGAGCTTTCCTGGGATGGCGGCAGGGTAAGATAGCTACGGGAGTGCTGGAGAGAGGAGCTGGCCTCCAGATGGAATTTATTCTGCTTGAAAAATCAAGTTTGTGTGCTCTGATAAGGTAGAAGATGGCTGGAGCTCTGCCCTGGGCACTGAGAGCTCCAACCACCAGCCTGCTCCCTGATAAAACCGGGGAGAAGCTGAGTTTTCCAGCCGGGCTGAGGGGACGTGGCGGAGCGGCCTGGGCTGGGCCCCGGTCAGGGGGGAGCAGCCCCCGGCTCTCACCACAGCTTGTGCTCAGCACGGCCCTTCTTGCCCCCGGCGCGCCTTGGGCAAGGACGGGTGCGGGGAGGGAAGGACGCACCCGGGACGGGGGTTGATGGCTGCTGCTGCAGCTGCCAGCTAGGCCAGGCCTCAAGGACAGGTTTTAGGGGGGCTCTGGCAGCCACGTGCCCTCCTCGGGGCAGGAGAGTTCAGCCCTGCACGGGGCGGCAGCGGGGCCGCGGCACAAGCTGCTGGGGGAGATGGCGGGGTCCTCAGAGGGGGCTGAACTCTTCCTGCCTTTGCCCCTCTAGAGCCGGGCGGGACGGGGCAGGAAGAGGGGGGAGCCGCTTGCTCTCCCCCCAGCCTGGCAGTGCCCGAGGGAGGAGCCGGAGTAACGAGTTCTGTCGGGCCTCAGCCCTGGCTGCCCTGCCTGGTCAGCGCCTGCCCTGTACATAGTGTGTGCCTGTGCCATAGCCCTGCAGCGACCCGGGGGACCGAAGCACTAATGTATAGTAGAAAATATTAGTTTAAACAACAAAAAAAAAAATAACGAAGCTAAGCTGTGCCCTGGTTTTGAGTCTTCGTGGATCGCGTTGGTGGGGAAGGGGGTTGAGCTGAACCGCTCGTGGCCCCCAGCGCCGCGTCTGCTCAGTCTCCGTCTGTCGGGGAGTTGAGTTTTACTGAGTTTTTGCTTTGTGTCGGCCTGGCTCTCTGCTCTCCCTGTCACCACCCTCCCGAGGGGCTGGTTTCTCTCCTTCCCTTTCGGGGGGTTGGAACCTCACCCATCATCATCCTTCTTGCTTTCCTTTTTTTGCAGCACCCACATGCACCCGCCCATTTTTTCCCTCACCCCCTCATCTAACAAGGTTTCTGCCCTGCCCTAGTCCCAGGCCATGTGTCTGTCCTAAGAGCCTTGGTCCTGGCTTCTCCCGGCAAGGCCAGCCCCACACATCTGCTAATCCCCAACTTTTACAGGGCTCCGTTCCCCCCGCCCTCCACAGCTCCTCTCCCTTGCTGGAGGGTCCACCCAGCACCCCCCCCACTGGGTGCCCGAGGGTTTGTGAGGGTCCCCCCTGTCCCCCCCTGCAGCCCTCAGGGGCTGTCACAGCCCTCAGTACCTTCGGCTGCTGGCTCCAGCCCTGAGCCCCCTCCCTAGGCTGGGGGGGCTCCAACAGCCCCTCTGAAGACACAAGGGGGGTGAGCATGGCCCCGCCGACACCCCCCCGGGGTTTGGCTCTGCACCGGGGCTGGCGCTCGGGCGCTCTCAGCCCCACAAGTCAACGAGGCCTGAACAAACGTGACGGGGTGTAGCTTGGTGGTGGAGGAGCTGGGGCCTGGCAGGGGCAGAGTCAGCCCCAGCGACGGCACCTTCATCTTCCTCACCATGGCCGTTTCTGTTACTTACCCACCAGCAGCAAGACCCAGGAGCACCTCGACCCTGACACCTTTATTTGTAAGCACCTTCTCCCCGGCCCCGCGGAGGAATCGCTCCCCGGCAGGAATCGTTAACACCGAAAGCAGCCCAAAGGCAGCAGAACC